TGAAGCACACAAGTCTTAAATATGTCAAGTTACAAGACCCTTGCACCCCTAACTCTTTAGAAAAAAACCTCCAGGGGTGTTCAAACTTAACAGCTTTAAGACTTATGGACTTCAACTCCCAGAATTCCTCCTCTCGCTCTTCATCTTGATGACGTCCGGACAGGCGGGGGGAGGGAGCTGGAACCGGTTCTAAACGGCACTGTAGATTTGTGGAACCTCTTCTATAAAAGAGGTTAGAACTGGCAGGAACCCACCCCTGATAATTTCCTTTGTATTTTTTTAAAAAAATTAGAATTCAGCTGAATTCTCAGAAATGGTCATGCTGGCTTGGGAATTCTGGGAGTTGAAGTCGACATACACAGAGAGCAACTTTCAACTCCCAGAATTCTCAGGAATGGTCATTTTGGCTGGAGAATTCTGGGAGTTGAAGTCCACCTACTGGAAAGAGACATTCAACTCCCAGAATTCTCAGGCTGGCTGGGGAATTCTGGGAGTTGAAAATCGCTCCCTGGATATATCCACATGAATGCAAGTTGAGTCCCTTTCAACTTCCATGCTAACTGGGGAATTCTGGGAGTTGAAAGTCCACATAGCCAGAGGGCAGCTTTCAACTCCCAGAATTCTTAGGAACGGTCACGCTGGCTGGGGAATTCTGGGAGTTGACAATTGCTCCCTGGGTATATCCACTTACTGCGAGAGCCCGTTTCAACTTCCATGTTAGCTGGGGGAACTCTGGGAGTTGTAGTCCATGCTTGAGAAAGGCATCCATATTGAAAAGGCACTAAATTCTTCCTCCCCCAGACCCTAAAAAAAGCTAAAGATGTTTTTCTTAGGGCCAAGATCTGCTCGGTTACCTAGATATGTCACAACTCCTATTCCTTTTAATGACAAGCACCTTGTAATATTAAACCGAGCTGCCGAGTGCCAGCCTGGTTGCAGCCAAAACAGGACCCTGGAATGGCCCTTAAGTGAATAAAAATTAACTAAGCATTATAAAAATATAACTTTATGTGGAACAACAGTTGAATCGGAATCAGACCCCGTTCGCACAGAAGCAGGGAAAGCGAAACAAACAAAAAAAAAAAACAGATTGTCTTGCGGCTTCCTCCAACCATAGGCAGTCTTCTACTTACAACGCTTCATTTAGCGACGGCTCAAAGTCACAACGGCACTGAAAAAAATCACTGACGACCAGGGGTGGGATTTAGTCCGTTCGCACCGGCTCGGGCGAATCAGATGTTCATTTTGACTCCGGTTCACTGAACCGGTTTTTGCAAGGACCGGCTGGCCCCGCCCAGTCCACTCCTCCCAGAAGTCTCCACGTTGCCCGTTCATCATGCCAGGCAAGTGCAGGGCCCGTGCGGAGGATCTGGGAGGGCAAAAAATGGGCCTCCTGGAAGTACCGCAAATCTGAAAACGGGCCCGTTTCCGGCCTCTGGAGCCCGAGAGAAGCCGTTTTCACCTTCCCGGAGGCTCGAACAAAGGCTCCGGAGCCTGGGGAGAGTGAACCCCCGCAGCATGTTGCAAGAGGCCAAATAGGCCACACCCACCATGGTCACTCCCACCCACAAACTGGGCAGAGAACTCAATCCCACCCCTGCTTGCGACCCTTTTTCACACTTATGACCGTTGTGGCATTTCCGCGATCACGTAATCAAATTCAAGACGCCGAGCCACCAGTTCGTATTAGGACAGTTGGCAGTGTCCCGGGGTCACGTGATTCCTTTTTCCCGACAAGCAAAATCCACCGGGGGGTGGGTGGGTGTTTCACTGAACTAGCATGGGGCGCACTCAATGACTGCAGTGGTTCACTTAACAACGGAGGCAAGAAAGGTGGGTCAAAAAAATTGACTTATCAACCATCTCGCCTAGCGACTGAAATCTGGAGTGCCATTGTGGTCGTACGTCGAGGACTACCTGTCGGCCGGGACTGCCGTTTGAAACCCTTTTCTGGCTGGCACAGCCCCCAAGATGGGCAATGAATCTCCAGCAATGCAGAACGCGGCATTTTTATGGAGACAGCCAGGGCGTCAGGCTGCTCTGCAGAGTCCGCGAGAGAGGAAGCTAATCCAATGTTCCTGTTTTGTACCGTCTTATGTCATTCCAGGCATCGAAAAATCTTTTTAATGGACTCTGGATGGCTCAGAGTATTCCCCTGACTGAACGGGCTAAAAGCATCATAAACCAAAGCCGGGAGAAGGAGTGGAAATTACCTTCAGTGTATAAGGCGCACTACCCCCCCCTCCCGGTTGTCAAAAGTGGGTGGAAATATCTGTGTGTCTTATACAGCGAATGTTGCCGGAGACCCTCCCACCTGCCGGCCCCCACCCTTCGGCCTCTGCCTCCCAGCAATTTGCCTCCTTGCAGTAAGCCATCCTGATCAGCTTCAGCACAGCCTGATTTAGCACGAACAGCTGATTGGCGGTTGAATCTGCCTCCCAGAATACTGCCTCCCAGCTGTTCCAGGCTGCGGGGATCGCTGCCACCCATTGCCACCGCTGCCACCTATAAATGCAGCACTGCAGGCTACTGCTAGATCAGCAGTTCAGCGGTTCAAATCTCACCGGCTCAGG